CCTTCTTAATAGCTCTGGAATTTAAAACTTTTATGCATTTTCCTTCTTCTTGAATAGCACTGGAGTTCAAAAGAAAACGTATCATCATCTCATGTTCTGTTTTCCTTTAGAAGTATTATTGCTCTGACCGAGTAATCACTAACAATTTAAAGCCTATCTACTTGGTGTGCTTTATTTGTTTGAATTGGTTTGAGATTTACCATTGGTGTATTGTAATGTAAATTGTAAGCCTGTTTTAGAATATAGCATAAATACTAATTAGTGAATTGTATAAGCTTCTTTTGACACTGTATTTAGTGAGTGAAGAAAGTTTGCTGCATTAGGGGCATTTTTGACATGATACAATCTGGTAGCATAAAACTAAATGAGTATAAGCTTCTTTGACCCTGTCATAATTGTTTTTTAAACAATTAAGTTTAAAAAAACAATTATGACTGACCCCATAGTTAAATCTTGAAATTACATTTGATTTCATGTGAAATAGCAAATCCTCAGAAAAAGCGGTGGTTCAACTGATAAATTTTGGGAAATCATCAGCTCACTCTCATTTCTCTTCACTGAGGACAAGCATCATTATTCATTCATTTTCAACCCACTACTTGTGATACTGTTTTGAGGAAGAAATCCCCCATGGGATTAAGATTGGACAGGTTCAAAGAACCAAACAAGTAAAACCAATTCCAAAAAGCTTTCCTTTTATATAACAAGCAATTCGATTTGGTCGGTGTGAATGTTGTGATTGGTGGTCGCCCGATGATTTGCCGCAGGTATTGGATGTGAGTTTGGTTTGGTAAGTGGGTTGCGATAATGATGAGAGGACGATGGTAGGTATTTTCAGGTTAGAAGGGTATTTTTTAAAATTATGATTAAATCATAATAAAAATGCAAGTGTTGATGGCTAAATTTATTAATCTTAATTTTCTCTCAATATTATGCCGTTTTCTTCTTTCTTTTTTATTTTTATTTAGCCGGCGGCAGTACTAATCTTAATATTAGTTGCCGACTCCGGGGATTGTTAGTTCTCTTGTTTTTAATGTCCTTAATTTTCTTTTTTTTTCTTGAGTCTTTTTAATTTTGAATAAAAATCTCTGTTCTCGTGACATTTTTTCTTTGCTCTTGTGGCATGTGTTTTCTCTGCTCTTGTGACACAATCGTTATAGTTTTTTGTATGTTTTTTGCTTACCTTTGCGATCGTTTTGGCTCTCACAAAAATCATCACAATATTTTATTTTCTGATTGGTTTGTCGGTGGTTATGTATAGTTAAATCCTCAGTTTTAGTAGAAGGTTATTTGTCGATGTAATCATAATTGTATAGCGAAGTAGCCTTCCAAATTGTTTGGCTCGATCTCCATTTTTTTGTCATTACGTAAAGCGTCTCATTCGACAGAGATAATGAGTTTTTATGAAGATTATTGAGTTTTGATTTGATCGTTATTCTCAATGGAAGATTTTTTTTTCTTCGTATCTTGAGGTTTAATATATTTAACTTTTATATAAGTATTTTGGTGATTATTGTCTATATATTTTAATGTGTTGTAATTTTGATTAATTTTATTATTAATAAAATTCAATTTTCATTATTAAAAAATATTATATCAATTTTACTAATAATTACGTTTAATGTTTTACGTTAGATTTTTTAACAATGTTGATTTAATATATTAAATCTAATTGTTAGTATATATATATTTTTTTAAATCGAACGATTTATTTATAATTTTTCATACTAAAAAACTTGACAAAAAGTATAGCACTTATTATCAAAAGACTAATTGGATATTTTTCTAATATTAAGTTAGGTCTAGATGGTGAAATATTAAATTAGGTGCAGATGTTTATGGAATCTTATATGTACCTAATAATCAAATCGACTTCACTTAATATAATCTTAAACAACATCTGACATTGCTGCAATTTTTATAATTTACCATCTGACACACCAAATAAATATATAATCCAGGCTTCTCCTTTTCATTTTCTGAAATATTAATCTAAGCTCAAAAGTCCTGAGACATCATTCCCTAGGGGCATCCAATATGTAACAGCTGTCCCTGTTATTACTTGCAAAGATTCATCTTATCATGCTACATTCTTAATTCACGACTAAGTAAAGACGTTAACTATTTTATTATTTTTTAATAAAATCAATAAAAAATTATTTAAAATATTTTTATTTTTATTTAAAACATTAATGTTTTTAATATTTACGGTAAATTTCTCAATAATAATAAAATCGATAGAAAAAATAACAAAACTGGTAGCGCTTTACTGTATATGTTAACAAAACCGGTAAAGCGACTAATAATAACAAAACCAGTAGAAATAATAATTTTTTCGGTAATTTTTTATCAGTTTTGTTAAAAGAATAATAACAAAACCGGTACCATCTTTCCTTAGCCTATATTAAGGCTACTTTCCCTAATTAACCTAACTGTCTTAACTGTAACATAATTTTTAGTTACAATACCAGAATCCCATGCATAATCCCCTTATTTCTTGCAGAAGAAAACTAGAAATTTGAAGGCAAGCATACTTTAAGAAACAAAACACAGGCCAATTGAGTAAGAACCTAGGATGTTGGCTTTTACATATCTTTCTTATATTTACCACCATCTTCACCTTTGAGCTTCAATCGATAGCTTAGTCTCTTATTTTTAACTAAATTATTTTTTTATCTATCTTCTTTTCGAAAAATATGTCTGATAAGATGTAACACTATTCTTAAATTATAAAACTTTTTTTTTCAATATGATATTAATGTTTTATACCTTTTCAGACATAACATTAAACATGACTATAATAACATGCATGTCATATATACGTATATGCAACAAAATGTTCAAGTCTCTTAAAGTTGAAACGTACAATAACTTTTAACCTATAGTCTATTCTATCCAATAATTAAGCAATTTGTCGGAATCATATAAACTAAATTATGAAATAATAGTATAGAGACAAAGGTTAGATGCCATGATTTGAAGCAACCATGTCATGAGACCAAATTCCATCACATCCTTTCGAATCTAGAGACTCAACAAGAGGATATGACATAGACATATAACACATACGTATCTATTAATCGTTTATAATTTTATAATTACTACTTGGTTCAATTTAAATGATAATACAAATCACAACCTTTAAATATACGTGTATAAGTATAAAAGAAGAGAAAAATTAGAAAGATATCCGAACTATTTACATAAAATAATTTTTTTATAATAGTCTAGAGTGATTACAATGCAATATATGTTTAATTTTTTTTTAACAATAGACGATGCATACTCATCTTATAAAATAATTACTCTAATCCGAAATCTTTAAAAAATAATATTATTTTTACTACTCATTTAATGGATTCGAAAAAAAATATTTTCTTTATAATTAATAATAGTGAGATGAGTTATAAATGTGAAGAAAAAAAAGGAGTTGGCAATAGCTTGGTTACTTGAATGAGGAATACAAGTTCCAAAATGCCTCTTGATTTCCTACACGCCAAGCAAACCCATGATAGAGAAAAAGTAGTCTTAGCTAGCTGGCAAATGCCACTATCATTGACTAAATAACAATAAATTTGTTTACATTTTCATTAAATCTATAGCTTATTGACAATTTCATAGTGTGCCCAATTAATTATTAAATACACACAACTCTGAGAAGTGTCAACCAACTCATTAATTGAACCAAAAACATCACCTGTGAATAATTAATGATGTGTTAGACTTGGCATAGATTCTGACTTGTGTTCGGTCCCATATAGTATTTGTGGCAGCTTGGAGAAATTCATATTTTAAAAGCAGTTTGCAATTTTCTTAATTTTGGACCCCAAACACCCAATATTAGTAATCAAATCCTAATTTGTCAAAAGAAATTATTAGAAAATTTTAAAATTTTGGGTCAAAAGAAAATAACATGAAGTCAAAGAAATTTTAATTTTACTAACAACCAGTTGGTCTAGTGGGATGAGACACTAGGTCCCTTAAGTAAGGTCAGGGGTTCGAATCCCGACGTTTGTGAATGGAGCACAATGGGTTAGGAGGGTCACCATCGCCTTTGCAGTACCTAATCTGGATTAGTCGATTAATAGATCGAATACCAGTGATTAATTAAAAAAAAGAAATTTTAATCTTCACTTCACTTAAATTTTAATTGACACTTAAATTAGATTTTTATGTAAATTTAGTAGTTGAAGATTAATTAATTATTGATGAATAAGTATTTCGCTCTATAACTGTATGTTTAATTTTTAACATTCAAATTACAAGAGATAATTTATTGGAGAGAGTATTCCTTTTAGGGGTCTTTGTTTAAGAAATTGACTGATTTTTGTAGAGATGTGGGGAGAGTTTTGGTAGAAAACTGGGTTTATGAGATTTACCGATTTTTTTCGATAAATGAAATTTCATTTGAACGCTTTTGTAATCTTTATGTTTATAATAATTTTTCCTTCATCTCATCTGTAAAGGTAAATAATGAAAAACTACGTTAAATATTGTCTTTTTATGTATAACTTATTTCATGCATGTTGATCTCACTTTGATTATTTTTCTAATTACAATTTGATTTGCATCAACCCAAAGAACAAAACAGAAAAAGAAAATCATTAAGAAGTTTCTAACCTACATGGGGATGATAAAACTCAATATATATACCTTTTGTCTCCCCCAAATTCATGTAATGTTAGATCCTTAAATGACACAAAATAGCATGTGCTCACAGCCTGTCCTTCACATGCATCCAATTCACCCTCCCCAACACATAATAAAAAATTCAACTAGGATCCACCCCCATCACAAAAACTATGCATAAATTATCACTTCTCTTCACCAATGTCACTTCGTTTACATTGTATAGGGTTGGATATCGGATCGGTTAAAAGAGATTCTAACCCGATTTCGAAAAAACCAACAAACAACTTAGCTCTAATACTATGTTAAAGCAACTTCAAAACTAGCTCTTATAACATGTTAAACTCGAAACTATCTTATAAAGCGAAGAGTACAATTGAAGCATTTGGTTTAATTGTATTATTCATCAAGGAAAATAGTAAAGAGAAGTGGACATCAAGATAATAAAGCATATGTAGAAGAAAGACATCAACCAACAATTATAGGTGAAAAGGCATATGTGGAGTGTATCAAATTGTTTGAGTGACTAAACAAAACAAAAGGCAAATGAAACAAGATACTCATTTATCTTCCTCTTTTTACTCGAGAAAAATAAATGGGGATTCTTTAGTTGTCAGTCTAGGTAATAATATTTTTTTACCCAAAGTAGGAAGCATTATCATTTGAAATGGTACTATAGTCTGCGGCGGTGGTGGGTTGAGCGTATATGGAACATGTAGTAACGACGGTAGTTGTAGGAAGAGAAGGAGGCGGTGGTTGAGTGGTGGACGGTGGTGGTGCAGCCACCGAAACAACCCCGGGTGAGAGCATGGCTACATGGGAAGAAGGTGGTATAAGGTTAGCTTCCCTACACTTGTATTTTATTATCTCAGACCTTACTGCAATCAGTGCTGCTTGTAAAGATTGAAGTTGCTGCTGCAAAGCTGAAATAGCACCCATGCACCCATACACCGGGTCTCGTAGCCTCATGTTCGCCTCGTAAACGAGACTATTGGCTGTGTCCGCACGTTGGCTCTCCGGTACTTCCTGAAACACACCCATTGCAAATGAATTAACCAAAGAGAAGAACAAATCACAAGGGGTTTAGGGTTCATTGTTGTACTACGTACCATCAGCATCTTGGAGACATTGCTGGCACCGAACACTTTGTGAACAGAAGCGAACTTTTGGGGTTCATGTGGGGAGAAGTATGGAGAGAAAGTGCACTCTTGAGCACACCTACGCCTCAGGAGTTTGCAGGCAGCACACGGAGTAATGGTATTTAGGGTTCCGGTAGGACCCAACATATGCCTTCTTCGCGTCTGATAATTACATGAAACATCTGCTTCTCTCTTTATCTTCTTCCCTATCTCCTCAAATCTCTCCCTAAAACACTCACAAACAAATAAAAAAGTTACGACTTTGCATATACAAAATGAATAATCTTCTTATAAGAGACTATTAAGGGGGGAAAATAGCTTGATAAGTGCATAAGGAACATGAAGAGATCATATTTGTTACCTTTCTCTGGACATTCAGGCATGCTCTCAAGTATGGAGAACAAATTTGAGAGGCTGATGAAATGAAAGAAGGAAGAAAGAAAAGAGAGAAAGGGGGAGGAAAAGAGTGCTTAAAAGGCAAGATACACACAGGGAATGGTTTGGTCCACTGTTTATATAAAATGAAATTATAAAACAATAGGCAAGGAAAGGGTTGTTAAAGTTGATATGTATATGAATATGAAGATTCCTGGGATTGTGATTTGCCACTTTGGGGACCAAAAGCTTTAATGGAAGCTCAAGCAATGGAGAGGGGAGACTGGATTTGTAGGTACAAAAAATAACAGCTGTTTCACTGCTTGCTCACGTGTGATTCCTTAAATGTTTTGACTTTCTGGAATTTCATCCAACTATTCAACCTTGGGTTTGCCATGTGGTCTTTGCTTCTTTCTTAGGGAATACCCTATTCTTAGTCACCTTTTGTAGATCATAAACATATGGTACATGTATATGCTTTTGAATGTAAAATGTGTTTCACTTCATGCATACAAGAAAGAAATTGTTTATGTCCACTTTCACATCAAAATTAATTAATTATACAATCATTCTTAAAATTGTGAATCTAAACAATTTAGACCTTGATTATCAACATCTACAATTCTTTCTTCAATCCTCAAGTTATAATTTGAAAGAGTTTTTGTATGTTTACTTCTCTAACAATATTGCAACTAAAAACAAGTTATACTGGTGGGTGGTCCAAGAAGCAAATTCTAAATTGAATAGATTTTGGGGTTTTCAAAATGTTTAAATATAATATTTTAAATTTATATTTTTAGGTTATTGAAAATAATGTATATACACATGTATTGTTATTACAGTTCGTTTGATTTGTATTTTGTGTCAAACATGTATATTTTTTTAACATTTTTTGTTTATTTATTCAAAAGTGTTTTCTATTAGATAAATTTGCTTCATACTTCTATTTTGGATTTTAAATTGTAGAGTTGTAGTGGATTTATGGGAGTAGTTGTAGCATGGCATCGGATTTGTGAATTTTTCTTTATGATTTTATTCTTCCGTGAAGGTCTTTGTACGAGTACCAAAATGATTGTAAAAGTATGTCAAAAAACATACCAAAAGTTATAAGAATCATAACGATTGTAAAAGTATGCCACAAGATGAGAGAAAATACGTGCCACAAAAACAAAGATTCTTATTTAAAAAAAACTCAAGGAAAAAGGATAACAAATGACATAGTATGAAAAAAAACTAATAATCACCGGTAGTCGATAACTAATATTAAAATTTATATCATCGTCGACTAGACAAAAAATAGATAAAAAAGAGAAAGAAGCGACATAAAAATATTAAGAGAAAATGTAGAATAAAAGAAAGAGATCTATACAATTTTATTTTTTTCTTACTATTTATGTTTATCAATGTTAACATATTTATTTTGTAATAGTAATAATTTACAATATATATGTGTGTGAATGGTAAGGTTATGATATAAATTTATATATATATATATATATATATATTAAAAAGGGAATTGGGCTGGGTGGGTGATAGTCACATAGATGTGGGTTGAATTGTGAATTAGGTCAGCCAAGCATGTTAGTTTCTTGTCAAAATCAAGAAGCCATCTCCAGAAAAAAGACCAAATCTTGGGATCTTCTGGTTCGGTCTTAATTCAGTTCGATTTATTAATAATATTATTATTATTTTGATAGAAACTGCTAATTTTTTTAAAAATATAAAATATTCAAATGATAATAAGAGTTTATAATTTTAATCGTAAACTAAATACATAATAATATTTTTCAAACTACAAAAAAACTAACCACTTAAAAACACATGATGATCATATAAGAAAAATATAAAAAAATTAACCCAATAAACTTAATCACAAGATAGATACCAATAAATTTAACTTAATTAATTTTTATAAAAATTAATTTTATAAAATTAATTAATTAATAAGATTTTAAAGGAGTAAATAGCTCAACATGCCTGCCATTAAGATCTTGTCACTAATAATAATTATGACAATTTTAAAATCATAACAATTTTAAAATCATAACAAGTAATTTGTCACTAATAATATTTTATTATGAATATAGTAAGTTGTCATTATCAATCACTAATATCAATCAGTCACTAATATAATGATCAAATTAAAGCCAACTTGTTTATTGCAGGAAAAATTGTAATATTGACAATATATTAAGTATTAGTTATTATTATTCACAATTGTGATAAAAATATTTTGTCGCTAGTCTTGGTGATGTATGATGATAATTTTTGTCACTATTAAAATAAATAGTTGTGTCTTATTTCTATTGGATCACTAATAAAATATTTGAATTGGAATTAACTTTTTTTTAACAAGAAATGATGTAATAGTTATAAAATATTAATATTATTATTCATAATTGTGACAATAACAAAATAATTAAATTCTTGTATATAATTATGACAAAATTTCTCTATAAAAATTTTGACGCTATTATAATACACTTATTGGCGCCAATTATTTTATGGCTAGAAATGATATGACAATGACAACATAAGGTTAAATCAACTTTGCTTCTCCACTGCTTGCACATAAGGTTGAATCGGATACCATCCTCTAGATCAAAAATTCAAACGCCAATAAAATTATTTGTCTATGCATGCAATTTTTTAATAGTTTTGATTAATTGTAAAGTAATATTTATTTATAATTTTAATTAATTAATAATATATATATTCTACAAACGGAGTTACTCGAACACATGATCTTTAAGAGAATAACATTCCATTCAATCGCTAAAATCATTTTATAAGGTCTATTTACATGCACACTTAAAGATTAATTCAACAATATCGTAAAATGTTATGAGAAATTTTCTTAAACAAATTGATTTGAGATTCTAAGTATTTAGTATCATGGTTAAAAATATTTTTGAGAAGATAATGATCATTTAGATATATAATTAAATATAAGAATTGTTTTATTAGTATATATTATAATAAAATATTTTTACAAAATAATAATAATATAAAAATGAGAGCATTTGAAAGAAAACGAAATTTAAATGATGGATTTAAAAAGAAAATTGGGATGTACTTTTATATTCGGGTAGATTTTGGTATGTATATTTGCATACGATGATTCAATATCATTGCTAGGAATAGAGGATAGTTGGATAAATTATGTATGTTATCATGTATTCTTTTTCTTCATAACCTTATGCATATGATGGGAGAATCTTTATTGGCTGAACATTTGTTCAATAAATCAGTGTCTAAATATGTTAAATGCCTTCATAATAGTTATAGAGGGTTTTAGACTTCTCAAGATTGAAATCAACTTTAAGCTGGAAGGAGCTTGGATTTTCCTTTCCTGTATTAAGTGGAGTATCTTACCGAGTTTGAAACCCTAGCATGAAATGGATTTAGAATTCTTTTGTTAATTAACCTTGGAACCAACTATTGCTCTAGAAATTTTGCTGCCATACATATCCTAATGTTTCTTTGTTGATTTTGGGCAAGAAAGGAGATTCCTCCAGAGGCTAATGCTCAAAAGTTGATGCTTTATGCGAGTGTTGACCAGTATTGCATAAGGTTTGAGTTTTTTTTTGTATTAATCATTTTGATTGCTTTTTCTGATATGTTGCTATTTAAGCATGATTTAGTGTATGATGCTCTTTTGAGCTTGGAGGAAGAAAATGACAAAAAAAGAAGAACTGAAGGACTTTTTTTGCACTAACAGTGAAAAATAGAGGATAAACTTTCTGCTTTTTATTGATAAACCACCAGCCTATAAATAGGCAAATACATAACTGAAATCAACATGAAAATAGGCACTATCTAACGTGCATCAACAAACTCCTATTAACTAGGAATCAAATTAAAACAAATTACTGAACTCCTGAAGACAAGGACAACCCAAATCCTTTCTTACGTGTGCTGCTACTAATTTATTTAACAATCCCTCTCTTAAACTGATGTTCCACACATAACATCAGTTTAATAAGACTCAAACTTTGAAGTGCCATCCCTCAAATAAAGTCCTTTGAATTGTAAACTCCAAGTAGCTCCCTGAGCTTTTGAAATGCTGGAAATTTGAGAGGTTTTGTTAGAATATCAGCAATCTGATCTTCACTTCTGCAGTAAACCAAATTAATAACTCCATCATTCGTGAGATCCCTTAAGAAATGATACTTCACATCTATATGCTTGCTTCGACCATGTAGAATATGTCTCTTTGAGAGATTTATTGCTGAACTGTTGTCACAGTAAATAAGAGTAGGCCTATCTTCTTTGAACTGTAGTTCTTCAAGGATCTTCTTCAGCCAAATAACTTGACAATAACAAGCTGTTGATGCAACAAATTTAGCTTCAGTGGTTGAAAATGTGATGATTGGCTGCTTCATTGATGACCATGAAACAGATCCTGTTCCCAACATGAAAACATACCCGAATGTGCTTTTTCGATCATCAGAATCTCTTGTATAATCACTATATATAAATCCAAACAAATATGACTTTTTCTTTCTTTTTAAAGAATAACCCAAACTCTTTAGTACCTTGCAAGTACCTAAGAATTCTTTTTGCAGCCAAAAGATGAATCTCTGTTGGACACTCTATGTATCTACTAATGACACTTTACATCATGCATTATATCAGGCCTTGTAGCAGTCAAATACATTAAGCTCCCCACAATCTACTTGTAAAGTGTATTGTTAACCTTGTTTCCTCCCTCATCCATGTTTAGCTTCAAACCAAACTTAGATGGTGTATTCACAGGATTACAATCCTTCATCTGAAACTTTTCCAAGATTTCTCCCATATACTTCTTTTAAGAAATAAAAATGCCAGCAGAGGATTACAACACTTCTATGCCAAGAAAGTAATGCATAATGCCAAGATCAGACATTTCAAATTCAGCCATCATGGATTTCTTAAAGCTTTCAAACATGATTGTATTACTTCCAGTATAGATTAGATCATCCACATATAAGCAAACAATGAGCATCTTTCCTCCATCTTCAATTTTTATAAAAATTATATTCATGAGGACATTTTTGAAATCCTTCCTTCAAAAAATAAGTTTCTATACGATTATACCAAGCCCTTGGAGCTTGTTTTAATCCAGTCCAACTGGAAGATAGGCCATGAGTTTTGAGTTGCCATAGCAAGCACCGACCTGATTGTATCATGCCTTACAACTGGAAAAAAATTTCTTTTTAATCAACACCAAACTTCTGCTTATAAC